TCTCTCTCTCTCTCTCTCTCTCTCTCTCTCTCTCTCTCTCTCGTTTGTTTACAAACGTGTCAGACTTAGGCATGACATGCATCACCATGGAAGTACTTAAAATTCTTTTTTCTTTTTTCCAAGCAAAAAAGCCTTTATGAGGTTGTTTTCAATTTCATAACCCGTCTTTGTTCGTCAGTAAGCTACCCATTGTCATTTGGGTTATTTTGTGATATTTATGTCATATGATTAGTGAATTCCTATTTGACATAGAATGAATTTAGATAGAATGTTTGGGTCGAAGAGGCTGTTAATGCTCCTGAAAGGTGTGGAGGTACTATTTTTATAATTCAGCATAACAATATTCTTGTCTGGTGTGAGATGTATCTTTAATTGGTAGCCTTCTCTCTGAGTAAATTAAATGAAATTTATTATCTTGACCTTCGTCATTTTGCACAGAACTTTCTTCTTGATTTTTCCAAATGCAGAGTTGATTTGTTGAAATCTGAACCTGTATTACTAGTTGATAAGATCAGATGTCATAAACATGCATATATTTGTCTTCTTTTTTGGCCATATTGTCACTTGATGAAAGTTATTGTAATTATCAGGAACTAGATTTCTTGGTTGAAGCCAAGAACAGCGAGAAATGCTTGGATAATTTTCGGAAGCTATCTCCTCACTTAGCACCTTATGTATATGCACCAAGGGTGCTTTGGACTCTCAGTACCACAAAGTTATTAACCATGGAGTTTATGGATGGAGCACAAATAAATGATGTGAGGGCAATTAGAAGACTTGGACTTCAACCACGTGAAGTTGCAAAATTAGTAAGCTCATTAACTTAATGCTATGTATAACTAGTAATGTATCTAAAGGAAGATACTACTAATTTAACGTTCAGATGACATGCTTTTGGATCATATCACATACATCGCTTTGTTCAAAAAATTTAGTGGGGAGCCTAACATATTGCTCTAGACTTGGTCTTGACCGCAAAAAAGGAATTCATAATCTAATTCAAAACCATTAACTCGGGTCGTGGACCTTTTCCTATATTTTGTAACTCCTTTGCCTTTGATACTTCTGTGTCATTGATTAATGAATGAACGACTTGAATGATAATTGTACTTCATGCAGGTTAGTGAATCTTTTGCCGAAATGATGTTCAAACATGGGTTTGTGCATTGTGACCCACATGCAGCAAACTTGCTGGTTCGCCCATTGCCTTCTAGCAGAAAGGGCATTCTAGGTGAACTCTGCTTAACTTTTACGCATAGTAATTTTCATTTTAGTTTTATAACCCAAGTGATTCAGATTGGTCCCTGTCCAGCTCCTTCCAGGTTATAAAATTTTTTCGGTCCTAGTTGCCGTAGTATTTTTCATAAGACTACTGATTATATGTGTCTTGTAATTGTGCTAAGACTTGCAGAATACGTGAATCAGTATATAATGATTCTGAAAATTTCAACTGGTAGTTAGTGTTTATAACCGTTGCTTATTGGTGCTCAATTTGATTGTGGTTGTAGTGTTTATATCCTTAAATATGTAGGTTCTAGACAAGGCAAAAAAGGGAATATTTATTTGTTATGTTCAGCAAATTCTTTGTAATTATGTGAAATGTTTAATCTGCTATCAAAGTCGTTGGTTTTCTAGTAGTCTTTGATGCTACAAGTGTTTCATGTTATTACTTCTCAAACCTTCTTTTTGCCTTTCATGCCACAGGCAAGAGAAAACCCCAGTTGATACTTCTAGACCACGGTTTGTATAAAGAACTTGATTGTGAAACAAGAACCAACTATGCAGCACTCTGGAAGGTACGTCTTGTTTTTCCTTGAAAAGGTTTTTCTTCCATGATTTCACCAGTCTTTTGATGTGGCAATTTATCAGCGGTTGTCTTTATGTTTTCATTCATCAGGGATTGATATTTGCTGATGCTAAGGCCATAAAAGAAAACAGTGTGAAACTGGGAGCTGGAGAGGATTTGTATGCATTATTTGCTGGAATACTTACTATGCGGCCATGGAATAGGGTAATTGATCCAGCTGTTGATCACTTGGTCATACAAGGCGGTGATAGTGACTGTTCCGAATTACAGGTGAGCTTCCGTCCAGCAGAAAGATAGCCTTTCTATTTTATGAAATTAATCTTTACACTACATGGTTGAGGTTTTTGAAAAAAGACCATTATTGATTGCTTGACAATATTTACCTCTTCCATCAAGCAGATGTATGCTTCTCAGTATTTCCCTCAAATTTCAGAGCTTTTGAGGAGGCTCCCGCGTGTAATCCTTTTAATGCTGAAGACAAATGATTGTTTACGAGCAGTTAACAATTGTCTGGTATTGTCTCGCCTTTCTCTTTATTCCTTTAGTCTGTTTTACCAGCGAAAACCTGACTATAGAAGAGAAAGCTGAAGTCAATAAATTATAATACTCCTGGTGTTTGTCTTTCTTTGTTAACTACATGACCCTGTTTCTTTATGAACGTTCACCTTTTTCTTTAAGAAATTTAATTGTTATTGTAGAAAATAGGAAAGTAGACCGGAAACGGAATAATCCGGTTAATAGGGGCTTAGAGATAAGATAGGAAAGTAGTTTATACTTTCAGTTTTTAAAGGAGATCTCTTGAGATAAGGATCTCATCTAATCCCTCTTTTCGTGGGATTTTATTTCCTGATTCCCATAGGGTTTCCTCCTATAAATATTGTAACTTCTTGTATAGAAATCAATCAATAAAGAATATTCTTTTCTGCCCTGAAACCTTCATGGTATCAGAGCCGAAAAATACCTTCTTAATCCATGGCTGAAAAGGCCATCACAGAAGAAGGCAGATCCTCGGCATCCTCTAGGGCAGGAGATTCTAATCGTGGTGAACCAGATCGAACCACCATGGCACAAGGAGGAGACTCGACTCAATTTTCGTTCCAATTGACTTTCCACAAACTGAACGGGAAGAACTACCTAGAATGGGCACAATCGGTGAAGTTGGTCATTGATGGAAGAGGAAAACTCGGTCATTTGAATGGAGAAGTGAAGAAGCCTGGAGATGGGGATCCGAAACTAAGGACATGGAGGTCAGAAAATTCATTAGTTACTGCATGGTTAATTAACTCTATGGAACTAACTATAGGTAAGCCCTATCTTTTCCTTCCCACTGCAAAAAGACGTATGGGATGCAGTGAGAGAAACCTATTCCGATCTTGAAAATTCCTCACAAATTTTTGAATTAAAAACCAAGTTGTGGAAATCCAAACAAGGTGAGCGTGAGGTTACCATTTATTATAATGAGATGGTGTCTCTATGGCAAGAATTAGATCAATGCTATAATGATGAGTGGGATTGCCCGATGGATAGCGTTAAGAAAGTGATCGGGTGTACCTTTTTTTGGCTGGTTTGGACCGAGTCTATGATGAGATTAGGTCTATGATTCTTGGAAAAAATCCCCTACCAACTCTTCGGGAGGCGTTTTATGAAATTAGAAGAGAGGAGACTAGGAGGAAAGTTATGATGAAGACCGAGGAGGATAACAAACCAGTGGCTGCTGTGACTGATAATTCTGCCCTTGTGTCAATGAGGAATGACTCAGATAATGACAGGAAGAAGAAGCCCTGGTGTGACCACAGCAAAAAACATTGGCATACGAGGGAAAATTGCTGGAAGATCCACGGAAAACCGCAGAACTGGAAGAAAAAGAATGCTGATTCCAGGGGCTTCTCAGCTCAAGCAACCAGTGAAGATCAGGGGCAGCAAGGTACTTTGGAAGGGTTGTCTTTCACAAAGGAACAATTAGAGCAGCTGCACAAACTTTTTCAGTCTTCACACTTCCGAGTAAACCAATCAACCCCTTCATGTTCTTTTGTCAAAACAGGTAATCTCGCCTCAGCCTTCCTCAGTGTTAATCCCAAACAAAACAGCTCCTGGATCATAGATTCAGGAGCCACTGATCACATGACAGGTTGCTCCCATTTTTTTTCAACTTATACTCCATGTGCAGGGAATAGGAAGATTAGAATTGCTGATGGTTCCCTCTCCGCAATTGCTGGAACAGGGACTGTCAAAATTTCCAATTATATAACCTTGCATGATGTACTCCATGTTCCAAAACTCTCTTGCAATCTTGTGTCTGTCAGTCAGATAACAAATTCTCTTAATTGTCGTGTTATTTTTGACTATTCTCGGTGTGAGTTTCAGGACATGGTCTCGGGGAGGACGATTGGCAGTGCTAGAGAAAGTGGAGGTCTCTATTTCCTTGAAGATGGAACCGAATCAGGACACCAAGTTACAAACTCTTGTTTCAACTCTATTTCCGTTTCTAATAATATTATGATTTGGCATTATAGATTAGGGCATCCTAGTTTTTATTACTTAAAACATTTGTTACCTGATTTATTTAGCAATAAAAGTCCATCTTTTTTTAAATGTGAGATTTGTGAACTAGCTAAGCATCATCGTTCTTCCTTTCCCGCTAGACCATATCAAGCATCAAAACCGTTTTTATTAATTCATAGTGATGTTTGGGGACCATCTCGAGCCTCAACAATGTATGGAAAAAAATGGTTTGTTAGCTTTATAGATGATCACACAAGACTCACTTGGGGATATTTATTAAGGGACAAGTCTGAAGTAAAAGAGATATTTCAGGTATTCTATACAATGATTGAAACACAATTTCAAGAGAAAATAAAGTGTTTAGGAGTGATAATGGCAGAGAATACTTTAATGAAATATTGGGAGGATATTTTTTAGACAAGGGTATAATACATCAAAGTTCGTGTTCAGATACACCCCAACAGAATGGCATTGCAGAAAGAAAAAATAAACACCTCCTAGAAGTCACGAGAGCATTATTATTTACTAATGGTGTTCTTAAGTACCTTTGGGGAGAGGCTCTCCTATCTGCCACATACCTCATAAACCGCATGCCTACCAAAGTTTTAGATTATAAAACACCCTTAAGTGTCTTCAAGAACACTTTCCCTGCCTCAAAGTTGACTACAGATTTACCTTTGAGAGTGTTTGGGTGTAGTGCATTTGTCCATATTCACAGCCAAAATAGGGGAAAGTTAGATCCTTGCGCTAGAAAGTGTATATTTGTAGGCTATGCTCCGAACCAAAGAGGATATAAGTGCTATGACGTAAGCTCAAAAAAAATGTTTGTCACAATGGATGTTACCTTCTTTGAGTCTCAACCATTTTTTGGTACTCATCTTCAGGAGGAGAGCATAATGGAAGATTCGAACTTTGAAATAGAAACTGCAAGAAGCCTAAATTTCCTAATAAATACAGAGTTAGGTGATGTGAGTAATGAAAATTTGAATCCTGAGTCTATAGAGTCATCACATAGCATTAATAAAGATGAAAATAGGGAACAAACAGGAACACAAAAACTGCTGGTTTACAGGAGGAAGAACCGGAAGCAAGGAATAGAGACTAAAACTAGCCAACACTGCCAAGAGCCTGAACTACAGATCAGTCCGGATCCTACACCACAGAATATTCCCGAATCAGGTATTCCTCACACTATATCTATTCACACCAACCTACCCAATCTTGAATCCGAGTCCTATATACCTGAGGCTAACCTTCCTATTGCTAAGCGCAAAGGGGTCCGAAGTTGTACAAAATATCCCATGTCAAACTTTGTGTCCTACAAAAATCTGTCACCTGTTTTCTCTGCCTTTACCTCACAATTGTCTAGTGTGGAAACTCCAAAGAATGTGCAAGATGCTCTAAAGGTTCCTGAATGGAAGGAAGCTGTTCTCGAGGAAATGAAAGCCCTTGAAAAGAATGGAACGCGGGAAGTGACAGAACTGCCGAAGGGGAAGAAGACTGTTGGTTGTAAATGGGTGTTCACAACGAAATACAGATCAGGTGGATCTCTGGAGAGATACAAGGCTCGCCTAGTAGCAAAAGGGTTCACTCAAACATATGGGATTGACTACCTTGAAACTTTTGCACCAGTGGCAAAGCTCAATACTATCAGGGTACTCCTATCACTTGTAGCCAACTTAGATTGGCCACTACATCAACTAGATGTGAAGAATGTGTTCCTTAATGGTGATTTGGATTAAGAAGTCTACATGGATCCACCTCTAGGATTTGAAGGTAAATATGGAACCCGGGTATGCAAGCTAAAAAAATCTCTGTATGGTCTAAAACAATCTCCAAGAGCTTGATTCGAGAGATTCACTCAATTTGTGAGAAGATAGGGATATGACCAGGGGCAAGCAGATTACACGATGTTCACAAGACACTACAATGGGAAAGTAGCTGTTCTTATAGTGTATGTGGATGACATCATCCTTACTAGGGATGATACTGTTGAGATGAATCGTCTAAAGCAGAGTCTGGCTTCTGAATTTGAGATTAAGGACCTAGGCTCACTAAAATACTTCCTTGGTATGGAAGTAGCCAGGTCAAGAAAGGGAGTTGCAATTTCACAAAGGAAGTATGTGATTGATCTTCTTAAAGAGACCGGGATGAGTGGATGTCGCCCTGCAGAAACACCAGTTGATCCAAATCAGAAGTTTGGAAACAAAGAAGGAAGACAGGTGGATACATCTCAGTACCAATGACTAGTCGGGAAGCTAATCTACTTATCACATACTCGACCAGATATAGCATTCGCTGTCAGCCTAGTGAGCCAGTTCATGCATTCTCCCCATGAAGAACATCTAGAAGCAACCTACCACATCCTGAGGTACTTGAAGAGTTCACCGGGAAAAGGACTGTTCTTTGAGAAGAATGAACGATGAGGTATTGAAGCTTACACAGATGCAGATTGGGTGGGATCTACTTCAGATAGAAGGTCTACATCTGGTTACTGCACATTTGTATGGGGAAACCTAGTTACTTGGAGGAGCAAGAAACAAAACGTAGTGGCTCGAAGTAGTGCAGAAGCATAATACAGATCAATGGCACAAGGGATCTGTGAGATGATATGGCTTAAACGAATTTTGGAAGAACTGAGAAGACCTATGACCATGCCTATGAAATTGTTCTGTGACAACAAAGCAGCAATCAGCATCGCCCACAATCCAATACAACATGATAGAACTAAACATGTTGAGATTGATCGACATTTTATAAAAGAGAAGATTGAAGCTGGTGCCATCTGCTTGCCATTTGTTCCAACCTCACAACAAGTAGCTGATGTTCTTACTAAAGGATTATTTAGATCAAACTTCGAGTTTCTCATTAGCAAGTTGGGTATGATAGATATCTATGCATCAACTTGAGGGGGAGTGTAGAAAATAGGAAAGTAAACCGGATACGGAATAATCCGGTTAATAGGGGCTTAGAGATAAGATAGGAAAGTAGTTTATACTTTCAGTTTTTAAAGGAGATCTCTTGAGATAAGGATCTCATCTAATCCCTCTTTCTATGGGATTTTATTTCCTGATTCCCACAGGGTTTCCTCCTATAAATATTGTAACTTCTTGTATAGAAATCAATCAATAAAGAATATTCTTTTCTGCCCTGAAACTTTCAGTTATCCTCTTCTAAGATGGGCTTTAGTTAGAGCATATGTCTTGCGTTGATATTTCATTCATAGACGTCTACGCGCTACTATGGAGTTAGTTGAGCTGTATGGTTCCCTAGAGCTCCATCGTTGATATCATAGACATCACTAAAACATAGTTATCATTTATCCACTGTATTAAGGCTTTCATAATTTGTGGCCCTAAGTTGGACCACTTCAATTTTTTCCAATTTACTTTGTATACAAAAAATTGTTGAGCCACTTTATCCTTTTAAATGTTTCTGAAACAGTTACAGGGATCTTCTCTTGAGACATTCTTGATCATTGGAAGGGTCTCTTCTGAAGCTGTTATTGAGGCTAAATTGTTACAAAAGAAATCCTTCTTGCCTTGGTTGAATGTCTGGTTGGATGAGATCTTGTTGGAAGCTCGCCTTCTGGGAATGCAGGTGGCCCTGTGGCTTTTGTGGCTTAGAAAAGCTCTTTGTTGGTGTAACTGAAGATGTATCAGTCTCTTAAGTCTTATAGTTGTTTTTTGTTTCGGCTCGGAGATTCTTTGGCTCCACGCTCATGATCTCGGAACAACATGCAGGGTCTTGATCATGGATCCGACAAAAATTCATTTTTTAAGGTTGAGTAAGTAAATGATTCATAGCATCTTGTTTCAAGATGCATAGAAAATGCTCAAAAACTTTCTGGGCACAAAGTGAGAGACCAAAAGAAACCTATAATTTATTCCGGATATTACTTCCACCCAAAGAGAGAAATTTGTCAAGTGATTATAGAATTACAGACTGGTACATTGAAGTGATTGTTTAACAGATTCATTTCCATCGGGAATTGATGTTTAGGAAATAAAAACTTGGGTTGTTGTTGATTTTATTATTATTTTCTATCGGCTAGCAATGTTGTTATGTATTTTATGCTTGTCACATGTTGGCCGTTCAAAATAAAACACCTTATCAGGTTTCTGTTATACCCGTTTAAACATTACTCCAAGCACAAGACTCTGGTTGGTGGCAGAGGGTAGAAAAGAAGACATGGTGGGGCAGACAGAGAGAAAATAGTTGGATAATGACATCTCTGAAGAAGAAAATTCCTGTTTACCTTCATGAGTGAAAAATTCACTGTTATGTTGCCAAAAGAAAAAAAAAATGTAGGTAAATTGGACATGTTTACTTGGTAGCTTTGAGAAGCAAAAATCCGAAACCATCCAGACTCGGTCCGACTCGCTGAGTCGGGATGTGAGTTGTTGGAACTGCCTCCTATCTTATAGAGATGATATTCGAGAACTGCGATGGTAATTCTTAAAGATAATAAATGTGTTCCTTTTCTGTTTTTGGCATTTCAACCTTGTATCAATATATTTACATTCAATGATCTCAATATATATATATATATATATATATATATATGAGTTATCCTTTTTTTTTTTATCTTATTTTAAACGAATATAAATGTGAAACACGTTTTTTGTGACATATGCCAACCATATTCGTTGGTAGTAGGTGGTTTTAATTACTTTGAGTAGCTTCTTTTGTATATAGTGAGCTTGCTCAAAAAAAAAAAAAGGCATTTTTTTAAAAAACTTTTAACAGTTGCTTTGTCTCCGTAAGTGTTATCCTTTTTTTTTTTATCTTATTTTAAACGAATATAAATGTGAAACACGTTTTTTGTGACATATGCCAACCATATTCGTTGGTAGTAGGTGGTTTTAATTACTTTGAGTAGCTTCTTTTGTATATAGTGAGCTTGCTCAAAAAAAAAAAAAGGCATTTTTTTAAAAAACTTTTAACAGTTGCTTTGTCTCCGTAAGTAAGGAATAATAAATAGATTTTTTTTACAAAAATAAATTATCGGTAGTTTTTTATTTTTCAGTTGTTTTGTTAGATCCGTATTAGAATATATTTATTTTGTATACCTTTTAAATTTAACGTAATTTTAATTAAATTTAACGTTAAAAATTGTGATTACGAGTCGGGTGGATAATAAGCTCATTTGGTAGATTTTTGGTTGACCTGCATTCTGCACGGAACAAGACAATGAGATCTATTAGCAAAAAGCGTAAGCAACGCAATCATGTCAATATAAAGCAATGAATTGAATTATGAAAATTGACTCGCGTCCACTTCTTAGGTAGGCTTTGGTAGGTTTGTCTTTCGGTTTCTCCCTTTAAACAACCCTATCGGTAACGCACAATATTAAACCATTAGATCACACTAAAATTATGTTAAATTAAGAAGAAATATAATGTTACTGTATTATTGAATTCTGACGTTTGCATTTGAACCAGAGAACTAAAGGAAATTGAAATATGAATATTGGCTGGGCTGCCCGGGACATGAGAGTTTAGAAAGAGTTTTAAATGGCTTAAAACTTTGGTCCGAGTCGCATTCATAAGCCTCAATTAATGTGATTTTGCAGTTGGCTGGCCATTTGTCTTTTGTTTGGTGAGTTTCTTTATATCTCGTCAACGCTATATTCATTAACATATTTCATATTTTTGTACCCTCTATTTATTGCAATGCATTTTTTTTATCAACAACTAATTTGCTTATTTTATTTTAGGATACGAGTGAAAAATATATATTTTATCAAAAAGACATGGTTTTCAAAATTATATTAAGTTAAAATTATGTCTTATTAATAGAGTATTTTTCATACTTTTTCAAAATAATTATTTTCATTTTCCCCCCCTTAAAAGTGCTAAAATGAAAAGTCGCAAAATGAAATTACAATTTACATACATCTAACAGTAAATCCTCAACAACCTTTTTATGCTGAGTTAAAAAGGAAAACAAACAACTATAAGAATTGTTTTTTGATTCGTTCCGTCATAATAATGAGATTCGCTCCATCATAATAATGGGACTACATTATCATATATATTACTTTAGTGAGTTAAATATATTTTAGAAATTATAACACGGGCGAAAAATGGATCCACTTTAATAATTGAATTGAAAGTCTTTGAGCAATAATAATAATAATAATAATAATAATAATTATTATTATTATTATAATAATAATTGAATTGAAAAGTCACATAGAGCCATACTTGTCATACAAGTCATTCAAGAAGCCACGTAAATTCATGATTTTACACATGAATACTACTTTACCCTTTACCTGTGAATGAATGTAAATAAATCAATCGAATCCGATGGTCATTGTAAATTTGTAGCATAATATAAATATACCTTTGAAAATAACGGCATTAAATCTACGTCTTGGGTTGGAGCGGAGGTACATAATTGTCGTTATACTAAATACGACATAAGTATTTCCTCCTGCAAACAAAACTTTGTTTGTCGTACACATTTCAAAGTAATAATATACATAAATGGTTATGGGATAGAGAAGAAAAAAGAATTTCCATTTTTATTTATTTCACTTCCTCTTCGCTCCTTGTTCGGTCATTGTACAACCAGCGTCGCAGCTGATCCTAATTCTCCGTTCGAAGAGAGAGAGAGAGAGATGGTGGGTCCGGCGAGACCACAATTCGTTCTGTTTGGATCGTCGATTGTTCAGCTGAGCTACAGCAATGGCGGTTGGGGCGCTATGCTCTCTGACATTTACGCTCGCAAAGTATGTACTGTTCTTTTCTTATATCTGCTTTGTTTGTTAATGGAGTTTTTTTTCCCCTTCTTTCTTTTCTCTGGTTTATTACGTAGAAACTGTTCAGGATTCGTAATTGGATCATCCTTATTTCGCCGTGAAAGTTAACAACAGCTACAAAATCTTTTCTTCCGAGCAACACCTGTTTAGTTCGCTCATTTTTCCGTTCATTTGAGTTTAAAATTCTGTACAGTAAAAAGATTTTGTGAAACAATCGCATTTATCAACAATCGCTCATTTTTCCGTTCATTTTGTGAAACAATCACATGAAATTATATTTTTACTCCAATTAAAAATTTAAATCAGCGAACTAAACATCCTAAGCTTTAATTTAGCCTTTGGTTTTTCATCAAGTGTTTTAATTTCAGCATAGAAGAGAACAACTTTTTCCAGAATCATATTCCGTGATATTTGGTTTTTTTTTTT